AACATTGAACACCTTTATACTGGGGAATACCCCCCTTATGATTGTATACACTTCATGCCATAACACCATTGATGAGACTCCTTCTACGTAAGCTAGCATGAGCACCTGCGAGCGACGACAAGTGTCCTCTACCACACACCTTCTTATCGTTACTCTCTAAATAATCGTCTGAGGCCTCCCCACGCAGCCATTCATGTTCGAGAGCCTCACGAGCACTCAGTCTCCTAGTCGGCTCGGCTGTCTGACCAGATTGCCAATAAAAGCAACACTAAGATGTGTCTCTCACCAGGAGCTTCTTGGTGAGATCTTTTGCGGACTTGGTGGCCTCCTTCCACTCGGGATCAGTAAAGGAAGGACGAGCATCTTGGATAGCCGCGTACAACTCTTCCTCCTGACCGACGAAAGTCCAACCTCGACCACGAATGACGGAGCCTACAGTATCGGCGTCAAAAGGCTCGAGGCCACTCAACAGCTCATATAGGACGCAACCAACACTCCACATGTCGGCTTGAGGACCATATCTAAGATAACGAATTAACACGATCCGCCACCAATGAGGGTATATCTCTTACTGAGCACGCTTCCTCGCAACCTCAGGTGCCATACACAGAGGAGTGCCACAGAAAGGTTCGTGTATTTCCGTACAGCTCTGAATAGGAGGGGACAGTAGGGCTACTGAATCAATCCGGCTGAACTCTAACCTTCAATTTCATGCTGTCCCGTGCTTCAAACTTCTTGCCGAGAACGTAACTGGGATAATTGATGATACCAAAGCCCGACCGAGGGGTGGGGGGGGCTCACCTCAGTCCAAAATCGGCGATCTTCACCTGTGCCTGCTGGGACTTCTCAGATAAAAGCAAGTTTTCTAACTTCAAATCGCGATGGACAACGCCCATACTGTGGATGTAATGCACTCCAGAAAGAACCTAACCGACGGCAGTGTGACGAGGGGGTCTTCGTGGAGAGCCAGTGCGAAGAAATATGCACAAGGTCAACTACATGTGTTTGGTGACAGTATGAAAATTCTGAGGGAAATTCTCATTGGTTTCTGACCGCTCTACCCGAATTTGTTTCTAAATTTCTGCAATTGGGAAGGAAACTCCCGAGCACAGCTGAGGAAAGCGAACATATATTCCTCCAACACTGCGGGAAGCCGATACCTGTTTTATCGCACGAGCGGCGAGCTGCTCTGAAAAGTGATCAGACTCCGCGAACAGATCGGCAATCTGAGCACATCATAGAGACGATGCGGCGGCCTCGGTGTTCCCTCACTTGTCCACCATGCATGTACTCCATAACCAGCCATATGCACTGATTGGTCTCGAACAGTTCATGCCTGATAATCGGGAAGGTCTCCAAAATGGCAGCGACCATCGACGAGTTACAAGTTGACGAGATTTGCGTGCTTCATTCGTTTAAGACAGTCGATTTCTATCCCCATAGATTCCTCGTCATTCATCTTATCATTCTTCTCCACGACCTGAAATTTCCCTTCCCCTTTTCGTTGAATCGACTCTCGCTTTACCTTCAACGCGAAAGTGCCGCCCTCAATCTTATTGTCAACTTTATACACTCGACCGCTGGCTCCCTTGCCAATCTCTTCAATGACTTTGTAGTTGGACCTTCGCAATCGGCGATACGCCAACTTTTCCATACCACTCCATTCACTCACTTGATCACTCTCTCAGAGCTGCATGATGAAGATCACGCCTCTTCGCTCAGCTCGGCTATGAGGGCCGAGTCGG